TTTTTTTTTTTTTGGTTCGATATATGCAACGAATAAGATTTTATTTTTAAAATGGACATCGAATTAATCTAAAAAAGAAAATATATTTATAATAATAATAATAATAATAATAATAGAAATCGATACAGGTGAATTTGACCAGGTAAAAAGAGGTTAAACTCGATATCGGTTCAAACCCGTATCTCTCAAAGAATTTCACAGGTAAAATATATTTTGTCATTTCTAAAGAGTAAACGCGGAAATAGTTGAAATTACATTAAACGTTCGATTTACGATGAATAAAGAATTGTTGTTCTTTTTACCTTTCTTTTTATTTTATATATTACAATTGAATAAATAATTAAATAAATAGATTTAAATGAAGGATCTATAACTGAACTAATTCGATTGTGTATCAAAGTACGCTGTTGCGCCTGGTGAACGATCATAACGAAAACGTATGAGAAAACTTACAAAATTAAACAAAACGCACATGTGTATTTAAACAAATAAGATCTAACAACGATTCTAATCAATGAAATATTATATTTAAAAAAAGAAAAAAAAGAATTTAATTAAATAATTGTCATACCTTGAAATTCAGCTTGGGACCAAACAGAATCCATAAGACAGAAGAGGAGGGCGGCACTGAATTTCACCACCGTAGCAAAGTTACCCATTCTTAGTCGACATTATTCTCCAAACACGAAAAGTCACGATACCACGGTTTAGTTTATAACCGTAATCGTCGAAATGCACATAATGTATTTAACCGGCACGAACGAACGAACGAATGATCCGTCTCCCGAAACGTTCGGTGACACACTGAAGAACGTACGCGGAAAAGCAAATGATAGCGATGTTGCCAAACCTCCGAAGACAGTGAACTCTGACAGTACGCGCATGCGCGCACGAGAATTCGAATCGAAACGCAAAGGCGCGCAAAATACAATATTTTGAAAGGAACAAAATTCGTGAAAACATTATTATTCATTTATATTATATTTTCTTACCACCTCCTCTCCTATAAGTATAATTTATTCATGTATTATATATAAATTTAATCGAATAATACCGTTAAGTATTAGGATTATGAAAGAATAATCCCGCTATAAGCAGCCTTACGATTTATACCGTATTTTATTATTCTTCATATTTATATTACACAAAGATGTATACTTAATCGTATTGTTTTATCGATTTCAAATACAATTCGCCAATTCCTCTACCATTCCATATTATTAAATAGATTGAAACCGATATCTTTCTTAACGATTATTAACATTAAACCAGGTCACAAAAATGCGTATATCTAGTCGATTTGTAAAGGGAAGATGATATTTTAAAAGGGGGGAAAGGATCGAGAAGAAGAGAAAGAAGAAAAAATAGACTTTGTATTGAATCATGTTTACGGTACCGAGAGGGAAGGAATAAAAATATCTAACGTTCGTTAACGATACATAATAATTATCATAGTCTTGTTATTATTTTTTTTTTGTCGGGTTTTTCTTTTTTTGTTTTTTTCTCTCTTGCTTATCATTACTTAGCAATCATTCATTATTACATTACTACCAATCCTCTCTCACCACATATCACGCAGCGAAATATTATTATTAATTTTACTTTACAGATTTATATTTTATACAAATTACTTAGGCATTGTGATATTCAGGAGGTTTATCTTTGCGCAATTATTATTTTGGTTTGTTCTTGTTCTACCATTATTATTATTATTATTATTATTATCGGCAATTTACAAGCCTTTTTCATCATTTATACAAATCACAAATACCTTTCTCACGTCGCTTTGAAAATTTATTCAAGTTTATCATTTTTTTTTTTAATCTATCAACTATGCGTACAAAGAGACTTCTATGCCTTCTTTTTATTTATATACATATACATATACATATATATATATATGTATATAATATTAATTATTATTTTAATAAGAGGTCATTACACCTTGGCAATTGCGTCTTTGCCACGAATGAACTAAGAAATACAATATGTATACAACGTTATAGCGACTTACTACAAAAGTGAACTGTACACACGACTATCCCATATATAATTTGGTCTTCTATGTACGCAGAGTCATAAAACAAAACATAAGTCCAAAGAATATATATATATATATAATATGTATACTGAAAATTAGTTTACCCTCACTCTTTTTATTCTTTCTTTTCATTTATCTTATCTTTTCTCACCACTTTTCTTTTTTCACTCTCCAAAGGATATTCATATTCTTTTCTTTTTTTATTTTATTATTTTTATTATATCACAAGTATTAACATTACAATTATTTTTCTAAGATATAATCTTACTTTCCTTTCATAACCAACTGTAGAATAATATAAGCGTTTTTTTGTTTATAATTCAAACGCCATTTTTCTATCTCGTTAAATTAAAACGCTGGTTTGGCCGTGTGTTGTTATTATTTTTTATTTTTAATTAATTTATTTATTTTATTTTTTTTTCTTTTTCTTAGAAAGACCACGCTCGACATAACATTATTATAGGAACACTTTGAAGCAGTGTCTTTTATAGAGAAGATGTTTAGGAAAAAATCAGACTCTTTCACTTTGAATTTGTTATATTTCTTTTTATATGTTTCGAGAAACATTATACTTTATTCCCTCCTCTTCTTCTTCTTCTTCTTCGTAATTATTTCTTTTTTTTAATTATTTTTTTTATTTTTTGTTCTCTCCTTTTTTTTCTTTTTGTTAAATAAAATGCTTCTCCGCGCTCCTCTCTTGATCATTTCTTTTATTATACAAGATATTTGTTACTATGTACCGGTATATAATATATATATATACAAAGAATTCATTTATGTGTTGGTTGTTGTTGCTGTTGTTGATTTTTTTTTTTATTTCTCGATAAATGTATCTTTTTCTTTTTCTAGAAACGGCTAATATTTTAAAAATGATTATTACATTTAATTATCATACTCTGTGCTAGTGGGAGGAGGAGTGAAAACTATTTTTGTAGGTAGGGTGTTATAATAGTTTGTTGTGTGTGTGTGTGTGTATATATATTTTTTCTTTATGTGTATTTTGTGTATGCATGCGCGTAAATGAACTTCTCTTTCGTCTACGCAAATTAATATTATGTACATGTATTTTGTATGTGTATATTTATATAATACATATAGTATACATAATTTATATGCATTATGTGTATTATATATATATATATATATATAATAATAATATTTTTATACAATTTTCCTGATTTTTGCTATTTCTCCCTGATACACCAAGAAAAAATCGTTCATTAATGTTCTTACTACCAACATACTTGTCATATAATAGCAAAAATTGCCTCTCTTATGCTCCTTTTACATATATAAATTGGTGAAAATGAAAATGACAATGGCAATGACATACTTGATGATCGTAATAGCGTTAGTACGAAGAAAAAAAAAAATAAAAATAAAAATAAACGTCATAATGTATAAATCAATAATATAATAATAATATATATATATATATATAAGATTTGAAAATAATAACAGTTTTAATTAATATAAGTATTACGGATAATTTAATTGCTAAGATGTACTACCCGCGTGTTTTGGATTGTAATCACTTGGTGGTTTAACGACACAAACTTAAAACGCATTATTTTAAAAGTTGATGATGTTATATGTTAATTATTATGTCTGTATCTATATAATGAAGTCAAATAATAATAGTCTTTTCTATTTATAATATTTTCTTACAAGATAGTATTTTATAATAATACAAGCAATGCCGGCATAATCTCATTTTCAAGTGTTCTCTCTCTCTCTCTCTTTATCTCTTTCTTTCTTTTTATCTTTTACTTGATTTTTGGCTTTCTCTCTTTCTCTTTCTCTTCTCTCTCTCTCTCTCTCTCTCTCTCTCTTTGCCATAACATCAAATCAATTTTCAATGTTATTTTATTGTTTATTGAATCAAAGAAATTTTGTCTTTCGTGTGTGTGTGTGTGCACGATGATATTTCGTTCTTCATTGGATTTTATTCTTTCTTTCATTTCATTTCATTTCATTTCTATTTTTTTAACAACAATTAACTACCGTTACTAATATTTTACTTTTTTGTTTGTTTGTTTGTTTGTTTTAATAGCCTTTAGTGACATCAAAAATTGTATGGAATGCAGCGACATTAAAAATATAAATTAATGTTGATTAATAACATCACTTTTATCTTTAATACCTTTTCGAAAGATTTACATAAAAAATATTGAAGACATTTTTTTTTGTTGTTTTTTTGTTGTTTTTTTTTATTATTATTATTATTCATGAGTGGTAATAAACTAACTTATTCTTAATAAATATAAAAAAATATCCGTTTTCTATTTTAATTTCATTTCCCTTATAAGAGAACACTTGTTATATCCGAACAACACATTTTTTCATTATTCAGTATCGTTTTAAAAATGTTTATTTTTTTTTTATTTTTTTTACTGCATTAACCAACCATCTCCTCTCTCTCTCTCTCTCTCTCTCTCGCTTGTTTTTACCAGTTGTCTATATATATAGAATATATTATTATTATCCAGCCCCCTGTCATTCATTGAGTTGAAAAATCTTAATCCAATATGCCCTGTACATTGTTCCTGCGTACATGATGTTGTTTTTTTTTTTGTCTTCTTCTTCATTTTCAGGAAAATCGAGTGTTTCGTGTTTTAAAGTGAAAGAGTAAAAAAAAAAAAAACGCAAACGTTTATTACAGTTTTTGATTTAAACCTCTTATTTCCTTGATATATATATATATGTATATATAACACATGATTTCCCCACCTATTCTACAGATTTTAAATTAAAAACTTTGCTTCCTTGGGTTTGCTTTCTTTCTTTCTTTCTTTCTTATTTTTTTTGTTTTTTTTTTTGTTTTTTTATTATTATTTATTTATTTTTTTTTTGTTTATTAATTATTTTTTTTTCTTTATATTAAGTCGAAAGGCCACCGTTCAAGGCCACAGGCCATGACAACGAATTATTAAATTTAATTAACGAGAAATTTGGTTAGTTTTTCCATCGTTAATTTGTTTCTTGGTTGTAATTTACAGAGACAGTTTTTTTTTTTTTTTTTTTTTTTTAAATAGCATATTCTCATTTGAACATCTTGTACATTGGAAAGTCTTTCTCTCGAGCATATTGATTCTAGAGACAATTATATCTGTAAATTGACACAATCATTATCCTTACATTCATTCTCTCACAAAACACACTTTCAAACACACCTCCTACTATGCATCGAATGACACGGAGCGTAAATTTCAAAACGCTTTTTCTTCTTCTTCTTCTTCTTCTTCTTTTTGTTTTTGTTTTATAACGTTAAATGCAAGGCAGCATAATAAGTCATTTTTAAGATCGATTTATGCGATAACTAATAGTCAGGTAACATGATATATATATATATATATATATCCATTCCCTATCCACATTTGTTTGTTTATAATTAATATTTATATACCAAGAATAGAGTTTTAAAAATAAATATAATTACACAAAGGAAAAGGAGAGAAACAAAAAAAAAAAGAAAAGAAAAGAAAAGAAAAGAAAAGGAAAGGAAAGGAAAGAAAAGGAAAGAAAAGAAAAGAAATGAAAAGAAAAAAAAAAAGAAAAAACAAAATAACTTATTATATCCACATAAGTATTTCATATGTAAATGTTAAATATTTTGCAGACGTTTTGCTTTACGCTCTGCTAACTTGAGCTTACCTTACTAACTAGTAAGGCTTCTTCTTATCATCATCATCATCATCATCATCATCATCATCATCATCATCATCATCATCATCATCATCATCATCATCATCATCATTATCATTATCATCATCATCATTATCATTATATTAATCATTTTCATCATCATCATTATCATCATGATCTTCATAATCTTCTTCATCGTCATCGTCATCGTCATCGTCATCATCAGTCACACGCAAAACAAATTTTTATAATTTATACCTTATGTTTATTGCCTTTCTATCATTCGGTGTACACGCTGTTAAACAGGGTCTGTCTTACTTTTCGTCAGTGTGGCATTATCAATATTGTAATTTATTTTCTCCAACTTAGTCTATGCACACGCACTCACCGAAATTTCACGTAACTCGATGAAGGTTGCACTTAGGTATGTATTGATTCATATCTAAATGCCAACCCTTTGTCAAAGCACAGGGATAGTGTATAACAGATTTGCATCCTCGTATAACGCAACCAATGTTCGCGCCTGTTAAACCGCAAGAATCACAAACCGATTTTGCAGCATCCCACACAGCTTCTTGTAAACCAGTCACTCTACCACCTACAACCATAAAAATTACTTTTTAATAACAGACATAAGCACTAACAATTATTGATGCATATTTCTTAACGTATGTATATTTACCAGCCATATAAACACCAGCAGCCCAAACAGCACACTGTTCATGAAGCCAAACTTCATAACGCTGTTCCTCGCCAGGAATTAAAGTCATTCCAGCATACATTGCATTCGTATTACTTTCAATCGAATTCCTTTTCTTTCTACTCATTTTCGCAGAGAACTGTTCAGCAAGTCCAGCATACCTTAAACTTCTCTTATTCCTTCCACCCTTCTTCTGCTCTATCGTTAGTTCGTGTTCATCATCAGCCGAAAGGATTCCATCTTCTAAACGTTCTTTTCCAATTAAATACGGGCCAAATAAATCACTTAATACACCTGCTGGGACCTACAACAACAATAATAATAATAATAATAATAATAATAGTAATAATAAGTAACTGTAATAATACTTGTAATAAATTTATTTAATGAACCATAAATATCATACCGTGTACGATCCAGGTGCAATATGAGGACCTGCCAAATTGGGATGAGGTCTAGATGGATCTCCTGGTATAACACTGTGGGGACCTTGTTTGCAAAATACACATACCCACGTAGAGTCGGTCGTATGTGCGTCATATCGAGACGACAATGTGGAACTAAACAAACCAGCTCTGCTAACTTTTCCTATAAATAATAAGAAATAGATTGAAAATGAAAATAGAAATACACATTTTTCTATGAACTTTTCTTTTGTTATTAATTAAGATTATTATATGTACCTCTATAGTCTAAATCATTTTGATGACTTAGCCTTTTACTTCTACCGGCATTTCCATTGCCAATAGTTTTCCTCTTTTCTTTATTTTTTTCTTCCTCCTCTTCTCTCGGTGCATTAACTACTTGAATACTTAAAGGGCTATCTCTAGGTCCTTCGACATGAACCACTGGTCCACGAGATTTAATAGAACTCGCATTTGAACCCGAATCATATGCCATTTCCCGATACCCTTCGTTTTTAGTATTTTTCTTTACTTTCTTCGAATAGTCTTGTTTTTTCAAACTTTTAGATACACGTTTTTTTTTATTACCATCCTTCTGAGATGATTCACTAGCAATATTTCCAAATATATTCTCGGTAGATCTGGACAATTTCCTTTTACCTCCTTGGACCTTTCCCTTCTTTCCTTTCTTTCCCGATAATTTGGTATCAACCGTAGACGATACATCAGTAGGCTCCATGTTCTGAGTATCTTTAGTTTGCAAAATATTATTTTCGATATTTTCAACCTTCGTAATATTTTCATTTTGAATACCAGAAATAGTAAAGTCCACTTTAGTATCTTCCTTTTTAACAGCTGGCTTGGGTTCATCGATTCCAGCAAACATTTTCTCTAATTCTGATTCGACCTCATTGAAGGGATTGGTGTTGTTAACAGCCTTTGGACTCGTTACCTTTGAAAATTCAGTAGCATCATCGCTTGATTTTCTTCGTACCCTTTGATTCGCCGAAGTTGAATTCGTGGTTGAACTCTCGCTACTTCTCCGCCTTCTTACCGGTTGATTTTCCTCGCTTCTTTCTTCAATATTATTATCGATTTCATGATCGTTTTCAGTATCGTTTTCGTTTTCATTTTCATTTTCATTTTCATGTTCATGTTCATGTTCATGTTCGTTTTCGTTATCGTTATCGTTATCGTTTTCATTATCGTTCTCATGATCGTTCTCGTTCTCGTTCTCGTTTTCGTTTACATTTTCATTAATCTTATTATCTAACCTTTGATCCACACTTTCAGCTCGTTCTTCTATTTTAACATTAGTTGCTGGAGTACAATTAGCAACTACTTCTTCTGGTATCGATTCCCTCATTCTTGGTTCCGTTGGTTCAGTCGGTTCAAGCTCCATGTCTTCTACTTCAGTTTTAGAATCCTTACTAAGTCTTACTGGTTTCTCTAATTTCCTTTTCCTACGTTGTTTGGTATTATCATTAGAATCGTCGTTACTGAATGCAGGTGATACTACCTCATCTTCTCTAGTTGGAGATTTTGATTTTGGCCTTTCAGGAGACATGCTTTTAACGCTTGACGTATCTTTCTCTTCAACCGGCATCACTATAACGGAACCTATATTTTCAGTACCACCAAGCTTCTTATTTCCACCTTCCAATTTTTCTAATAAAGAGTCCACACCCTTTTTACCCCTCTTTGGTAAATTCTTGGGTGACCTAACACTAGTTTCTTCGTGTTTCTTGTCTCGTTCGGAAGACGATTCCCTTTTAGGACTATCTGTAACGTCCTTCTCTATTTTCGACGTAAGATTAACGATAACAGGTAAAACATTTCTTGGCACTTGTGCTATTACACTTAATGTGTCTTTACTTTTCGTTTCTGGTTCTTTCTTATCCGCAACAACACGTTCGATCGTAACACTAGGCGGCAAATTAATAACTTTTTGTGCGAAACCATCAACACTTATTTCCTTAATCTTATCATGAATATTGGCAACGCCTTTCAAGTTGCTTTCAAAATTCTTAACCGTTATTTTTGGAGTCGTTATCTCTTTAGTCGACAATGACACTGGTTCACTGACAGAATTAGGTGTTGGTACAGATGAACTTATTCCACTGTCCGACGATGTTTCTCCGTTTAAAGGTATTGGAGGAGAAATAATATTTCCGTTTCGACTACCTTTATCCACGTTTCGTGCCGTTAAACTAATTGGAATATCTTGAGGTATTCGAGAATAATTTTCAGCAATAATATCCGACGTGGCAGAAAGGTCAAGCGTATTTTGAGAACCTGGTGAGTTTCTATATTGATTTTGGTTTTGCCTGTTATCAACTAACATTTGTAAACTAAATAATGGATTGCCAGGAGTATTTGATGGCGTAACAGTTTTTGATGGAACTGTAGGCGTATGCCACGTTGGTGGTGCTTGAGTATGAGCAAGTTGTGGAGTCAACTGTGGCGTTAAATGAGATGCTCTGGACATAGACGGATGAGTATAAAAGCCAGCTGGATTTAAACCAGTGCCAGGTGGTAATCCTGAAGCGTGAATATTTAAACCTGCAATATAAAAACGTAACATCGTGAAATGTTCAATAGATTAATAATTCAATATAAAATATTACAGTTACCATAAAAAGTGTTACCTTGACCCTGCGTCATCGTGGTGAGATGATTCCAAACTGTTTGAGGTGGAGGAGTGCCAACCGGTGGTCGGCTATGACCCGGATATTGTCCCGACATTGCACTTCCTTCCCAATTTCCCAGTGTGATCCTAGAAGCGACTATCGCAGGATCTATACTCTCAGGTTTGTCTAATACCTCCTCTGTACTGTACTCTTCTTTAATATTATTGTGTCTGTCATTCAAATTAGTTGCTCTTCCTCTTTTTTCATGTGCAAGCTTATACGTTCTTCCCTTAGGATATTTGTCTAAGAAGAGCTTACTTTCTTCTTTTAAATTTATATTCAAAGTGGATTTACTATTTAACTCAGTATCCGTAGATATGTTCTCTTGGACTACATTAAGTTGTGTTGTATCGTATTTTACTTTACATGATAAATTATTATAGTTCAAAATTTTCAATAAATCATCGTTCAATCCTTTGTACTTAGCTGCATAAGAATCGTTAATGTTGCAGGAAAAATCAGTCTGTGTTATAACAGGATAATTCGACTGCACTGTTCTCTTATCACTAGCAGCAGGTAATTTTAAATAAGGATATCTATCCTTTATTTTGGCGTCTTGATCACGATTATAAACAACACTGCTTGTGGCATTTACCGACAAATCAAGAGGTTTATTAACTTCTTTAACAGAATTTGATGAGAAATTATTCGAACTTTGATAAGATGCAGTAGTCTCATTAACAGAAGTTGGGCACAGTTTAGTGTTTACAGTAGACTGCGAATAATTGGAGAAATAATTTAAATAATTAATGTGGGCGTTCCAAGCTAATTTTTGTGTCTCCGACAAACTTCTGTATTGATCCGGCCAAAAATTAAAATCAAGATCAATCTTCTTTTTAACATTGACTAAATTATCTTTTTCTTTTTTCTTTTCCCCCTTCCAGGGGGTTCCTTGATTCCCTCCGTGGCCTTGAATAGTGTCTACAAAGGAATTTGATATTTTTAAATCAGCTGTCCTCGACACGTTTGACTTTTCTGAATCCAGCACTAAGCTCTTAGATTTAGACTTTGGTAGATCTTGAAACCCTTTGATATGCCGTTCAGTCACGTCGTCTAATTTATTTTCTTTCTTGCAACTCAGGTTGCATTTATCTTGCACGTCAGAACGTGCTACGAGTGCTTGTTCATAAACCCATGGAAAGAAACTATAATACGCCCAATCTGGCGCAACTTGGGATATGTCGTGTCCTGTAAACAAATATTTATTATTAAAAAAAGACCCTTCATCTATATATCTAATGTACAATGAAAATAATCAAATATAATAACAATTAATAAAAATGACATATTTTTACCATCATTGGATAATTCAGAATTAACGCAATTAGTCAGACCATAATGTATATTAGAAGTATTCGCAGATTGTTGTATTAACTCCTGTATGATTTTCCGATAATGTAACTTATTTTCTAAATTTCTTTTACTCGATGATGTTGATTTATCTTCAGTTAATTCAGAATTAACAGAATTGGTCACACCATAAGATATTTTAGAAGTATTAGCAGATCTTTGTATTATCTCCTCTATGATTTTCTTCTGATGATTTACTTCTTCAGAATCTTGTTTGTTCTGTAACGTTGATTTTGTTTTTTTGCTTAATACAGAATGATCGCAATCGGTTACACTATAATGTATCTTGGAAGTATTCGCAGATCGTTGCAGTAACTCCTGTATGATTTTCTGATGATATTGCTCTTCCTTCAAACTTCTTTTCCTTTGCAATGTTGATTTTTCTTCTGAGTTAGGATGCTCGTAGATACCCGTCGTTTCTGTAATAAAATTCCAAAAAAAATATCAAATATCTGTATAAAATATGCTTACGCGATTACTTGGAACTAAGTTAAATTACGATCAATTCAATCTAAAGAATTGTTTCTTATTTAAACTAACTACAAAATCATTTTGTCTACTACGCTTTAACACCGCAATATTTCTTCTACGTAATAACAATTAAACATTCCAACACGATCTTTGAATGTAATATGCATTGTCTGAACAAACTATTGAACCTAATCTCTCTATAATGATACTAAGGACGCATTGATTATTAGAAATATACGATTACTCTCAATCTCAACATACAACCAAATACTTCTAAAAAAAAACATTAAATACATAAATGTTGTTAAGAATATCATTGAATAAATGAATTAATTGAACAACAAACTAAGTATGCTGATTAATTAGATCAAACATTCCTGTACTTTTTTACTTCCTTTGCTTTTTATCACAACCTTAGAAAACTAAAAAAAAAAACAGATATGTGAAAAAGAAGAAGGTTGTTGTTGAGCATCATGAAAATACTAGGAAAGGATTTCTTAATGAAAAAAAAAACTGAAACAACAAGAAATGTAGCTCGTGCAACGTGTAACGTTTACGAACATCATTCGAATCGGTATAGTGGTATTTTAGAATAGAAACACCCGCATATGTATTTGATGATAATCTACAAAAGACGACGCGAATCGTAGAAACAATGTACATATGTGAATGAATGGAAATTTGAATGAAGAAAAATCAAGGACTCATATGTAGAAATGAAACAAAATGTAGGAGTAAAGTACACGTTAGTTCCTCATGGGGAAACGAAGGAAGGAAGGAAGGAAAGAAGGAAAGAAGGAAGGAAGGAAAAGAAAAATGAAAACGTACGGCACTGTGCGTCGAATGTTACTCTCTTTGCAAGAGAAGAACGACGACGCGTTTCTCGATCATTTTGTTTTTCTTTGCAAACGTATTAGACGTATTAGAATTTGGTAGGATTGATAATATTATTTATTTTCCTCTCTTTCTTTCTTTCTTTCTTTCAGCAAATTTCGTAGGGACACGCTAAGGGATACATATAAACGTATGTACGTAAATGCGTGTGTATATGCGCGAGCGAGGAATATGCGTACCACCGTAGATCGCAAAGCACACGCGGCACACGTAGAAGTAGTAAGGATGATGGTAGTAGTGTAAAGTAATATTAGTGTGTTGTAACAGCAGCAGCAACAGCAGCGTGTATACCGTACACGCTCGCTCTTTCTCTCTTTTTTCTCTCTTTCTCTCTCTCTCTCTCTCTCTCTCTCTTTTCGCATTCACACTCACTCTCTCTCTCTTTCTCTCTTATACTCTTCAACTCTCGTATACACGGTAGGGAAGAGACACGTATACGTATGCGTGTCGTGTACGAAGGCGCGCGACGACGACACAAGTAAAACTTGTGGTGGTGGTGTGTGGTGGCGGTGGCGACAACGGTGCAAATGACGACGATTATGAGAATGACGAATAGGAGGAGGTAGACAAGGAAAAGGAGAAGGAGAACGAGAACTACGACACGACAACGACGACGACGACACAGAAAAAATCTCCAAGAGAATTTCTCGGAGGAAATGTAAAAGCAGATGAGAGAAACAGGACGACGCACTACTCACTCGCGCACTCACGCCCGATGCTGGAACGCGAAAACACACTGGCACGATTTTCCTCGACACTCTTAGCTTTTATAAGCTTCGTCCTCGTGCTCGTACCACTGAACGATAACTCCATGTAATTACAAACAGTAAGGAATGGTAAGAACTGTTCTTCCCTTTGGCCGCGCTTAAAGCCCTCTTCTTGTCGATGGTTGCGCGTAGAAAGGCGGCAACGAGAACGGCAGACAGAGACGGAGAGAGAAAGAACGAGAAAGAAAGAGGAAAAGAGAGAGAGAGAGAAAGAGAGAGAGAGAGAGAGAGAAAGAGGAAAAAGAATAAGACAAAACGAGTCAGATAGACGAACAGCAGACAAGACAGGGAAGAGAGGAGAACCGCGTGCTCGAACACGCGGGGCAACGTGCGCTCTTTTAACGAAACAATGTTAACCACCTACGACTCGATAACAAACAATTCTTCTTCAACACGTCTTTCTTTGACACGATGATGTTTGACCGATTGCTCGTTGTTGTCGTCGTTGTCGTTGTTGTCGTCGTCATCGTAGTCGTAGTCGTTGTATTCGTACTTTTCTTCTTATTATTATTCTTTGTAAATGATTTGTAGGGAGTATAAACGGATTGCATGGTGCAACGTTGTATAGTATGAGAGAGGAAGAAAAGCAAAAGAGAATAATACGAACAGTTAGTTAGTTAGATAGATAGATAGTTAGATAGATAGTTAGATAGATAGATGGATAGATAGATGAATAGATAGGTGGATAGATAGAAGATAGATAGATAAATAGATAGATAGATAGAAATATTGATAGATACAGATGGGGATAGGAAGACAGACAGAGAAAGAGAGTAAAGGAGAAACGTAGACACAAGAGTAACAAACAGAAGGTATACTATCGCACGGTTTTCCTTTTTACCGGCACGCGTGCACGCGCCACGACGTTACACAGTACATCGTGCACTACTTCGAGAGGGGGAAGAGAGATTCAAAGCCGCGGACAGAGGGAGGGGTAGTGTTAGGAGCTGAGGGGAAAGCAAGGGGAGAAGGAGCGCGCAAGCACAACACACCAACACACCCCGACGAAACGTACGCGACACGGACATGGGTGCCTCTCTTTCTTTCGCGTAAATCGATGAGCGCACTCGATTTCACTAGCTTTTCTCGCCTTAGGACACGGATCCTCGAGAAAAAGAAATATCGCTCCAGTTGGGAGCTCCTTTGGGCACCAATCTCTCCTTCTCTCCCGTGATACGCACCTTACGCACGGGGCCCTTGCCGGGGGGCTGGCGAATTTACGATTTTCGGCCAAAAAATCGTAGGGGCATCAACCAAAGCAGAATTTCAACAATGGTGGCCACCAGAGAGCAAACAGTACGCAACTTGTCGACACCTAGCGGCAACTAACCGAATCGTCCAAACTTCTCTTTCCCTCGCTTCCTTCATACTTTTTTTTCTTTCTTTCTTTCTTTTCTCTCTCTCTCCTATTTGTATTTTTTTTAATTTTTTTTTTATTTTTATCCTTTTTCTTTTCATTTACGATTATCATACGAATCGACAAATGCGACTTTTCAAAAGCTGTATTTGAATCCTTTTTTTTTTTCATGTGTAGATAAATATTATTATTTTCCAATAAATTTTTCTTTTTAAATACGAACTTTTATTTGTTTACTTTCGGGACAATCTTTTTCATCAATTCGTAACATCGGTCGCAACTAGCGATTGTCAATTCCGGCTATCTTTGATCCAATGGCACATATCATTTATTTTGTTCTTGCGAAACTTCAAACTTCGAACATCGCAATTAGGACGAATCGTTTTCGTTCGTTTTGAAACGTCTAACGAATTCCCGCGACTAAATTTATATCGCTCATTTAAAATCAATTGAGTTGACGTTGAGTTTGTAATTGTTCCTTGCAATTGAGAAAAAAAGTCTCCCTCCCGTATGCAATTATTGAACTATATTAGTTTTTTTAAATCAATCAGAATATACTCGTGCTAATCAACATTATTACGAATTCTTACTGTTCCGACAATGATATACATCATGTTACAAAAGTCCTACAATGATGATGATTGGTTACTTCTCGGTACACGCATTACGAAAATTTAATCATGCGAACGAGACTTAACGTTAATATTTAATTTTTATTTCTTACATATTTTTTATATAAGAATTTGATCAAATATATTTAAAATATAAATATGTTACAGATTTTTTAATCGATTATTTTAAATATATGCATAACATGATCAAATTATCATCAGTGTAACTCGAATAAAGGATTTTATATTTTCTTTTCTCTCTCTCTCTCCCTCTCTCTTTCTCTTTCTCTTAATATTATTTAAATATTTAAAACACATTTACTATATACTACAATATTTCTTTTATTATGTAAACAGTTATGTGTTAAACTAGTGGTTACTAAATTTTGTTATTTTCGGCGCTCTTATTGGATCCAAGTTTTCTCAAAGAGCTTTATGTCAAATTCTAACAAGAAGTCCACATTGTAAAATAGTTAAACATTTTTGTTTATTTACAAATTCCAAACAGTTGATATTAAGTGAGTTAATGGTTTGCACCAAGTCCGCTAGATTTCGCATCTTATCACATTGAATTGAAAATCAAAATAAAATTATGAAAATTTTGTAATATATTACGGTCTCTCAATGTACCATGGAACGGAACACATTTTGAGAACCACTGAGTTTAAGGGTTAAATCATTTTTTACAAATATTTAATTTGAAATGTGCAACACAATTTTATGTAATATTGATAAATTAGAATAAATTATGAATTCTATAATATCACACGTTCTATTTCAATATCAAATGAGCTTCGATGTTCTACATAAATGTGCGTACGTGTACGTACGAATATATTAAGCTAAGAAACGATGCATTATTTTTAATATTTCTTTTCGATTAATAAATAGTATTAAGTTACAAACAGCCAATAGTAATTCTAATATACAAAATTCTACCTATTGAAACGCAAGAGATAGGAAACACACCTATTTCTTATTCGAAAAGTCTCGTAAAAGAAACAATACTGAACTATTTTGAGATGTAAACTTGTTATTTGTGTTTATACTCTTACATATTTTAATTAAAATTTGATTTTTAAATTATCTGTATGTAGATTTTTTTTTTAAAATAGGAAATATTTGTATAATTTAAAAAAAAAAAAAGAAAACAAAAAAAAACAGGGTTGGTTTAAAATGAAGTGTTCGTATTAATTCGAACAAACATGCGCATTTGAATCAAGTAAAATATGTTTGATTTGATGAGTCTGTTTGTATCTTAAAAATGATATTATATTTATTTAATCTTTTAATTTATGCATGTAAATATTGAATTTATTTATTTAATTTTTTTTGTTAAATGACGCGACAATTATCAAATCAAATTGCATTCGAGAATATATCGAATTTTACGGTAAAAATTCTCTAGAAAATATCGTTCACATTTATATTTCTTTAAACGTGTAATGAATATATAATTATAGAATAAGTTGATTTAGTTGTGTCTATCACGTATGCCCCTTCGAAATATTTATTTTACACGAAAAATAAAATGGCGTCGATTCGCGTCGTCTGCTTGCTTTGACAGCTCACGATACGTTCGTGTTGTTCGTCTTTTTTGTTCATTCAAATCTTTCCTTCGAATTATTTGTCAGTGATTAATAAAAACATATATCGTTTATTTATAATTTCATAGTATTTTTTAATTTTTTTTTTTAAATTATTTCAAATATCTTGTATGCGTGAAGTAAAAGATAAAAAGAAGCAAAAGGATACAGTTGAATGTTCAGTAATAGAGTAGTAGCATTGTCGTCTGCTTGTTTGACAAGTGCGCATGATCGGTGATCAGTCGAGTGCGAATAATATGGCGTACGGGTGTGGATATCGAATGTTCGTCATGTCGCTCAACAACGTTTATTATTTGTGAATATATTCAATGAAAATGAATAGTAATCAATTAAAATTCGAATAACATGAATGAAAGGTTCGATGTTATAGTGATATATATTCTCGATGATGGAGGCAGAGGTTAGAGTTTGATATTGACGTTCTTCAAGTATTTTCTACTACAATATCATAGGTTGCAAATAGTTATGAATTCGGTATGCAAGACGAATGACGTGTAATCTAATACACCAATGTGCAAGCGATTGTCAACCTGTGAATTTCGTAATAATATGTCTACATACGTATAAGGAAGGCTCTACATATAACTGAGTTCAATAAAGTCAATGTTTCATTCAAATTGTCACGTTATGCAAGTATAGATGATGCTATTTATTATACAACTTGAAATATCTAAGTCCATAAAGATGGTTCCTTAATAATTATATTAAAACACTATAAACAGGCTGTTTTGAAATATTCTATAAAAACAAAAAAAAAAGAAGTTGATATAACCTATGAATGTTTAAGACCTAATAGTTAATATAATCTCTAGTCAAAAACAGTCAGAAAATAAAGTTGTATATCGATGTTAAAAATGTAATCAATTTTTGGCATAATTGTTTCTTATCAGTTTATTCTATGATGTATAATAGTATTTCATGTAAATGAACAAGTTACTATTATACGATTGTATATCCAGTTTGTTTATGAGATATATTACAATATATATTAAAGAATATATGCGATACAATAAAACCGAGTATATGTAGAATACTTGAAATAAAAGAAGGAATATTATGAAGACGTAACTGAAGCCAAAAGTACTGAATTTAGAAATATATAAAAATTCCAAATGACTTGATAAATATCTAGACTGTTTTTAGAAAGCACCTTGCAGTAAATGGTATTAATAGATAAATCATTTTTCATTGGAAGCTTGGATTATTGACTATTTGTATATATACATATATGTATATATATATAAATATAAATATATATGTATATATATATATGATGTATTTCTACCAAAATATTATAAAATACCATTGTTATATTAATGATGGATTAATAACTTATTAATCACTGCATTAGATGATAATATTATGGAGCAGTGTAGAGGAAACGATACCTCTAGCATATCCAATGCAGCTAAAGCAGATATATCACCTAAATCAAAACAGAAGAAAAAATCTCTATGTCAGATGCTTATGAATAAAAAGACTAGAGTTGGTTGTTTGGAAACATCTTATAAGGATAGCGATTCTAATAAGAATTCTAAAGCCGATAACTCTCAACACGAATCTCATACCAGCACAAAATTGTCTTTATGTTGTGCGATGACTGAACGAAGTAGAACTCCACCTCAAAGTTTAACCGCTAGTAGATTGTCTCCTACAACATTAAGCAGGACATCTGTAAAGTCTGAAGTAGCTTCCATTAATGGTAAATGTCTAACAGATGTAATAGTCGAAAAGCAAGAAGTGTATTCGATGTATGGCGATCAGGAAGCTCAAGAGAGTAATACGAGTAAAAAAGTTGTTATGCGAGAAAAGGAGCAACGCAAGAGTACTTACACAGAAGGTAAGATTTAAAATGAATATTTCTTTTATAGTAGAACAGACAGTTGTTTTATTTTTTTGTTTATTAATTTTTTTTTTATTTGTTTAACAATTTTATATTTATATAATCATTACTTAAATCAAATAAATGATTTTACTTAACAAATCAATATAGGATTGCATGAAATTGGTCAATATTTGATTAACACGTTATATTTAGAAATATATTTAGTAGACAATATTTTATTAATATTAATTTTTAATTATTAACTCTATGCTTTAAAAAACATTGTTTATATATGTGATAATAGTAACAGTATATCTTTTAATACCGATTATGTCATATGATTAAATGAAAATACGTCCTTGTATATCCCCACCAAACTATTAATCCTAAGGTACTCCATAGTGAGTAAAGAGATAGAAGTGTGTCAGTGTGAAGTTTTATCATAGTATGGGAATTCAAGTGATCTCTTGATAATTCAATCTTGAAAACAGGCAAATGTGATAAGTGTTGTTAGGCTTGAGTGTTAGTAGTGTCGTTTTACAATGCCGTTAAATAGAAAAAAGAAGAATTCATTTCTCAATAAAATATCTAAAGTATTTAGGAAGAAAAAAACTCATGTATTAGAAAGGCAGACTAGTAACTCTTCTGAAGGAACTAGTAATGGACAAAAGTCAAATTTTCAAGAATCTATTAAATATTTTACACATTCTAATGAACAAATAAATATAGCTGTAAAACCAGCCATTAATGTTCACGTAAAACATCATTTTCCAAGTGAACATATTGATGATGAATGCAATAGTCAAACGAATATCAATCAAACTCATGATAAGACATCTTCCATAAGTTCATCCGTTGAAAGTAAAAATGACAATATTTTGGAAAAACAAGAAGAGGTTATGCCTTCTGGCTCAGATAAATATTTAAGTATAAAGACTGCCTTTCTGAAACAAGATAATAAATTAAGTGATCTTGATCAAAAACAAATTGATATTGAAAAGAAAATTCAATCGGTTGACAATACTTCAATTAAAATGACAGACTCCATTATTGACAAAATAATAAATAATCCGGAATTGAAAAATGGTAAAGTTCACGAGTCACATTCATTTTTAATAAAAGAACTTAAATCAACTAGCCAAGAGAGTAGTGAAGATAGTGACTTCTCTGCAGAATCCACGGAAGATGAAATCGAAGAATCTTCAGATGATGAAAATATACAAATGATTTATGCCGAAAGAGATCACAAATATATAAAGGATGACGACTATTTCACTAAGGGGAAGTATATTTCTTATTTCTTCCTGGCAATGGAAAGGCAATTCTACGATCCTTCAGAAGTTTACAGTATGGTTAATTACCATAATTGTAACATTTGTGAAAAACCAGAAGGCAAAGGTATAAACTAACAATGAAATAAATCTATGCGCTGCTTGAAATTTAATTATTGCGCTTTTTCTAGCAATTTTTCATTTTACCTATTGCGAAGGTGCCAGATTCTTCCCAGTATTTAATATATATATATAATAATATATGTGTATATAATATATATTAATATATTTATATATTATAGTGAAAAGAGTACACAATGTTATTTATCGGGCTAGTGTAAGTTTATAAAAGTGTCAAGATTAAAAAAAAAAACAAAAGAAACATTGAGTATACAATAACATGGCACCATTAAAATTCATTATTTCTATATCCTGTATAATTATCATGCTTATATGTATTCTTTACCTGTTGCTGTATTAATAGAAAGTACACCCCCTTCCTCTCTGACATGCATATATACAGGGTTTTCTGTAACTGGTGATACAAATGAACCATGGATGATTCTATATGAAAAAATACAACATTTTTTAAACTTATTTTTTTCAAAACCAAAGCCTTATATGAACACATTTGATTCTAAATTTTCTATTTAGTTTTTCGTATAGAATCATCATCTAATTGTTTATACCACCAGTTACAGGAGATCCTATATATATATATATGTGTGTGTGTGTGTGTATTAGGGTGTTCCTTATTTACATCATTTTGAAAATTTTTTTCCCCACCCCCTAAATATTTTCTAAATACATAAATAAAAATTTCCTGTAAATTTTGAACTCATAATTTTAATATTAACACACTCCACAGAATCGTCAAAGTCTTAGATGGAAAATACATGCAATATTTTTCCATAATGTTAATAAAAATCATAACTCTGGTAAAAATGTGATGAATCTGTTAGAAATTTGGTGCAATTGTCTTTAATTTGAAATAATCTTTGCTAATTTTTAAGTTCATTATTTCCTTACATATTAAGTCAATAAATATGATGAAATTTATAATTGATTTTTTAATTTTGTTTTAATTTTAAATTTTGAACGATTTTTAACGTTATAATGAAAATATTGAATGCATTTTCCATTTAAAACTTTGGAAATGCTGGGAAGCGTGTTAATATTAAAATTAAGAGTTGAAAATTTACAGAAATTGTTGTTTATGTATTTAGAAGATATTTCGGAGGCGACAAAAAAAAAACATTTCAAAATGATGTAAATAAGGAGCACTCCTAATATGTATGTAATGTGGCATAAAAAGATTTGTTGTATACAAATCAATCCTTTAAAACACACTAAATTCTAGGATGTAGTTAAATTATGTAGTAAAAATATCAGAGAAGAGAATTCTACTATGAAATTTACAAAGATTTAAAAATACGTACAAGTGTTAGATACGTAATAGAGAGTAATTTAACCAATTTAGTTCTATTAGTGAAGAATTTTGTAATATCATTATTAGTAGGTATATGATTTTCCATATATGGATATCTTATGTAAACTCATGTTTTAAATCATACGTATAATATTTCAATGTTCCAGATGAAAATTCTTCTTCTGGATCAATGTCTCCGATCTCTATGCAGTTAAGACAAAGATTACTCCACAGAAGATCTGTTGATAATTTAGTTATTAATTCTCCGACAAATTCTATGCGACATTCTAGTCCAGAATCTGTGAAAAGTGTACCTATTCAACTTAAACCTCGCTCTACGTCACACGATGCCTTGTCAAAGAAAAAAGATCGTAAGGTGCCTACAGCAACTGGGGAATCTACGGATAGTTTGGCTAAACAGGCACTACTTGCTGCACAAGTATTAAATTTAATTCCTGCTCAAAAAGCTAGAGAAAGGTACATGAAGTACAAACACAAAATTTTATTTGAAAAACATATATATATAATTTATGTTATATTTAGTATAATTATTTTTCGTAGAAATTTCCTTCATGGAAGAATAGCGGCTAATTCATTGCTCGGTCCAGTGGAACTTGAAAAAGTATTGCCAAATCGCGAATTAAAAATTTTCGTTGGAACGTGGAATATGAATGGTCAATCTCCGCCAAAAGAATTAAATGATTTTATGTTACCTTCGGAAATAGAAACTATTCCTGATATGTTAGCAATTGGAACTCAAGAATCGTGTTCTGAAAGAAATGAATGGGAAGCTTCTTTGCAAGAAACATTAGGACCTTCTCACGTTTTATTAACTAGTACAGGTCTTGGAACCCTTCACTTGGCTCTTTTCTTAAGGAGAGATCTCATTTGGTTTTGTTCTGTACCTGAGGATGATAGTTTTTCTACTAGAACCGGAACAGCATTTCGAACTAAAGGAGCTGTTGCTTTGGCTCTGATGTTATTTGGTACAAGTTTCCTTTTTGTCACGGCACATTTAACAGCTCATCAGGATAAAGTTAAAGAAAGGGTTAATGATATAAAAAGAATCGTTAGAAATTTAGATCTTCCCAAAGATTTACCTACAAAACATAAAAGCAAAGGTACGCAATTATTTGATGATCAAATGATCATCTTATAATTGTTTATTTATATAAAATAATATCGCCGAATTATTATACATTTACGATATATACAATAATTATCATTTTTTTTAGATGTTACACAAAATTTCGATTGCGTATTTTGGTGCGGAGATTTAAATTTTCGTTTAGCTCAACCGAGGGAGGAAGTAATTCAATGGGTTACAGACACCTGTTTCCCCCAACAAGTTCCAGTTAATTTACAAAAGGATCAATTGAAAACAATTCTTAATGAAGGTGCAGTACTGCGTGGTTTTGAAGAAGCATCAATTATGTTTCCCCCAACTTACAAATATGATCCTGGCACACAAAACTTTGATTCGAGCAGTAAACAACGTTGTCCCGCGTACACGGATAGAATTCTTTTTAAAGGAAAAGGTCATACAAGAGGATATATTAGACGAGTTAGTCATGAAAGTACTAGTTCGCATAAAGACGGTGCTATAGAGTGCTTGATATATGATTCTGTTCAAAGTATCTGCACATCCGACCACAAGCCTGTATGGGGCGTATTTAAAACAACTATAAGGCCTGGCATTGATACGTTAGTATTATTAAATTATGACGTATTATTTTTATGGTTATTATCTGCGAATGTGCGTATAAGTATTTTCTGTTCTTTTTTTTTTTTCTTCTTCTAGGATACCCCTTGCAGCTGGTTTGTTTAATCGTGATGTATACATAGAAGGAATTAAAAGACGTGCAGCTGCAATGGATGAATCTCAAGGAACTTCTAAAGTGTGCTCGATTCAATAATTATGGTACTATTTATAAAATTGCCTAGCAATTTAATAATATTAACAACAATTGTAGACTTTATAAATCATGAATACGTAAAAGAAAAACTTATATAGAAATTACCATGTCGCGTGGCACACACACATAAGTATACACGTATATATATATATATACATGTATACACAGGCGATAATATAAAATTTCTTATACATTCTTCAGTTTTATATACAAAATTGTTTTTGTATCGATATCGATTACATTTTTAAAAAAAAGAAAAGTATTAATCAAGAATTGTTTATAGACTATTAAACATGTAAATTACTGTCTAGTAAAATGGCACAAATGAGAGAATATTCTAGTCACACATAAAAATATTCTATATAGCATGTTTTTTTTTTTTTTTTATTAAAGTAAATAATAATAATGTCTGATCTAAAAGATCGACATAATATTTGGTGCTAATAATATGAATATTACAAAAGGTAGAACGATATTTAACGTGGCATTTTTGTGGCCATTCTTTTTGCCTAATATTTATGTTAACAACAACAACAGAAAATAAAAGAAAGAAAAGCGTATTTTTAAAATAATCAATCGGTATATGGTTACAAGCATTATTCCAAATTTTTACTTATTATCCGTAATATGAATGCAAGTATTACATTATTTTTTTGACATTATGCATCGTGAAGTATTATTAGATTATTTATAGTAATTTGCAATAAAGAGAACGATTTTTTTATTCTTGATTGATTCACATAGTAATTAACAACATTGCGATAATGACATGGTACATGATTTGTAAGTTAATAATAATTTTTGTTTTGTTTTGTTTCAAAATGCCTTATTGTTATTTTTGTTTGTTGGCTTCTTTGTTTTTAACACATTGCCAGCCGGCGACCTAAGAACATTTAAAGCCTGAACGCCGACAACGTATCAACCATTTAATGGTATAACAAATGAAGATCGGTGTAACCATGGCAAGTAAATACAAATGGATGTGTAAGACACTCATACCAGCAAAAAAAAATCCACATCATTGTGGGGCAGCTACTCAAATTACAAACTCAGAAACCCGCGTTTTCGCGGGGCCGGTGCTCAAGCGACAGTCTCAGAAATCCGCGTTTTCGCGAGGCCCGCTGTCAATGTGTTAATTTTGTTACCATCATTAAAAGCATTTTTTATTACATTGTTATTTTTATCATGGTAACAAATATATATTGTATTATTTGATATAGATTAATATACAGGGTTGATGATGTATTTCATCGGTATGTAGAATTATTAATCGATAAGTTCCAACCAAATGTCAAAGCGGTATATAAAGACATATTTCCAAATAATTTGTAATTCATACTAAAAAGATCCCAAAAAGAAAAGAAAAGAACATTGAAAAAAAATCTGTATTTATTCTATGTTGTATCACCATGTTTGATTAAATATTTGCATATATATATATATATATATATATAGCACAAAGTCTCTGGTAAGGATCTAATACAAATCATGTTAATTAAGTTTTGTTTATTATTTATTGGAAGTAAGGAACAATCAAAATGATAACATAACATATATATATACATAATGATATAAGATGATAGTTAAAGCTTCCATGATATTGTTTTCATAATCTTTCCACATTTAGCTGTTCTTACTCCTAGGTATCGTTCTTATCAAATTAATCTCACTGCATAATTATTATTTAACACATTGACTGCTGAGCAAAATTTTTTTCGTTTTCACACAGCGCTGTAATTGTTCCTTAAATAATCGTGCAAGTTCAGACTGATGTAAAATAATAATGCGTTGGACAATGGGTCCTGGTATGGCAGTCAACATGTTAATATAATTTACAATCTGTTATTGTAAAAGACGAATAGCATTATAAGTTTATACAAAGTTATATGCACATGCTATATCAATAATATTTTACAGTATTTGGTAGAAAGACTGTGTTTTACAAACTATATGTTAAAAAAACAAAAACAAAAGTTAGTCTTTCGTTAATTTATTACAAGGATAAGAAACTTTTAAAACTATTCCAAAGATATTTAATAGAGGAGGATGCCTTCATAGTAGTTGCAAATTATAAATTAATAGTAAAACATGTATGTTAATTTATTATTTATTTTATTAGACAAATAATTATACATACATAGACATATATTTTGTATTAGTTTAGATACGATAATTAATATCGCTTTATAATTAGTTACAAGCACCCACGTATAAATCATTGCTATTTATCTTGCTGTTATAAAAATGGTTATTAGATTGCATCTTAAATTTAGATCAATGTAGAATACTTCTTAATTGTCACTTTTATGTTATCGATAAATTAATTAATAATATTGATGAAGAAAAATATGGACCATAGTTAAAAATAAAGTCTCAGGGCTTGTAACCGTACCAAAATTTAATAAAGATTAACAATTATTCCCAAAAATTATTGAAATCTTTATTAAAGCATCATTCATGAATTATATTATGATTTTTTTTTTTTATATAAAAAGTAACATTAACAAATTAATCATCATATTGTCATTGAATGACAATACTTAATTCATTCAAGTAAAAAAAAAAAAAAAAGAATCAATAAACATCTGACAATAAAAATCTAATTTTGTTAGATTTCATTTTTAACACACAATATATATATATATATATTACATTTATAACAAATTTTTACAAACAAAAACTATATATATNGGTCGAAATAATAATTAAACCCAAGTCAAATTATGACAATTTTTTTCTCGTATTTAAAACGAAACGAAACAAATAAATATATATAAATAAATAAATAAAGAAATAAAAATATCAAGAATTACAAATCTTGATATTATATTTCTACGCCAAAAGTATTTCAACAACAACAAATGAATATAGAAAAGAAAAGTCTAGGCCAACAATAGATATGATGTTTTTCATTTGCGTTGAATAAAAATAAAATACAATTTCTAAACATTAAAATAATCAGTTTATACGTATAGAGAAGGTTTGTAAAAACCTGTTTGAAGATCGATATCATAAATGTTTACATAATTGATAGATAGGATAATATTATTTAAATATATATATATATGTCAATAATGAAATGTAAGTCGTGATAATGTAGATTTCTAATTACATAGAAAACGATCTTCTCGTTTGGCATGGTTACAAATCCTGGGATAAATTACTTAATAAATCACTCATATATTGATGGAAAAATTTTTCAAGATCTCTTTTTTTTTCCTCTAATATTTCTTTATTTTTTTTACTTAATCAAGATAGTCATTCTTTTATCATGATTACCATTGCATCATTAAGTGTGATGAATAATTCAATAAAAATAAAATGAAAAGGATATAGACACATTCTTCTTCTTCTTCTTCTTCTTCTTCTTCTTCTTGAAGTAGATCTATGTACGTATGTATAACGTATTTATTGCTGTTCTTCTAAAGTGCCTAATTCATAACATTTTCTACTTGTAGTTTTATACTACTCATTGATTTCAATGAAAAAGTAAAGGAAGGACAAGTCTATTCAAAATATAAATGAAATAATAGAAAATAGTAGAATTTGTTAAAGTAAACACATTTATTTCTATTAATTTCATGCAGTTTGTCTCAACTATGCTTTATCTGAATATATTTGTAGTTATTTACATATTTACGTAAATTTGTTCGTATGTATGTATGTATGTATGTATATATGTATTTATTTGCATCTGCGAAAAATCATATTTATTGTTAGTTTAAATATTTTAGTAATTATTAGTAATTATCTTTTTTTTTTTTAACTGAAATTATATATGTATGTTTGTATGTATCTCTTTCAATGTCAGTAGATTTCGATAAGCACGCACACACATACACATATATAATATATTCATATATTATATTATTAATTATTGTATAATATATAATTATATTTATACAATCAAAATTATACAAACCAAAATATATATATATATATATATAGGAATTTCATTGAAATCTATTTCACACATGGCTCGGAAAATATAGAAACAGGCCCATATAATATATATACATAACTGATATAATTATTATAATATAATATAGTATTAATTACTTATCAATTAATATACGGTGATTTACAAAAAAAAAATTTCAATTTTGGTATATAAATTTTGGTATATTCATATATATATATATATATTATATGGGCCTATTTCTATAATTTCCGAGCCATGTGTGAAATAAATTTCAATAAAATTCTTGAAAGTTAGTAACATGTATAGAAATTTTAATTTAAATTAAACTATATATTGCTAATTAATTAATTAAATTATATATGTGATACATATTTATCTACATAAACAAATATGTATACACTTTAATTTGTTGTATTTTTCTGGGCTTTCAATGGTGGGGATCAGGGGGCCCTGTGCTACCAGACAGTTTGCACACCTGTGTGATTACGGCCTTGATATTATTACATTGTATTTATATTATATTATTAATTATTTATTTCTAGTTTTCAATACATGCTAGAAAATATCTTTATGTATATAAATACGTCATCATGTCTGTTGTTTAAAAATTAAGGTTATCTTTACATATGTTTCACTTCATACATGTAACGCGACACATATATTCTAATATAATCTAATATTATCAATATATATATATACTTAATATTGCACAATTGTTTTTTTTTTTTAATGATTAATAGCTGTATTTTTTTTTATTCTTATTTTTATTAAATTATTTAAAAAAAAAAGATGGAGGTCACAGATATTCGTCGAAACGAACGATATCAGGTTTATATCTAAAGATTTTTCTTTGTTTTTTTTTTTTTTAAATTAAGGGTTTAATAATTATATATAACGTGATAATAATAGAAACGTTTCGAAAGTATTTAATATTTCCATTATTTTTTCATAATTTTCTTATAGCACAAAATACAAAAAAACATGAAAGTCATCCAGACGAAATAAATTTATAATAATGTGAATTATTTTTATTTTGTCGTGCAATGTACGGTTATATATAGTATTATTTATGTGTTTATGAATAATATATTAACGTATGTGCATGTTCAAGGAGTTATTCAAGAAATGTATAAATAGCAGTAAGACAGGTAAATTCTCAAAGTATATTATTGTATTATTGATCAATTCAATTGGAATGTCGACAGGTTTGATTTATGTAATTTTTTATAACTTTTATTATTATATCGTTTTTTTTTTGTATCATTGTCTCGATATACTTTGTGATTAAATTCTCCACGTTAATTTATTTAAAATTATTACAGTGACATTATATGGATTATTAAGTAAGCATTTAGTTTGGATCACGTAGTATAAAATTTGTCTAATCAGAAAATTAATCATTAAATTTTTTTCCAATAAATACTACGAGTAATTGTTTGTTATTCGAATATTATCTAATATCAAGTAATATGATTTTGTTTATGTATTAAAATAATTGTAAGATGGTGATCAAAAGGTATGAATTAAAAAATAAATAGATCCTTGATCAATTGTCTAAGATTTTGTAACAATAAGTATTATAATATACATACGCATAAATATATTATTATCGTCATTTTATGTTAGTAACAAGATTATCAAGAATGAATTATTTGAATTTTGCGCCTTTTTATGATAAACCAATCAAAAGTGAATTGTCACGAAGTGATCAATGAGAAAAGTTTAACAAGGGTGATGGTAAGGTTAGGTTAAAACTTTCAAAAGTATCGAATGGATTGTTGCTGTGTTTTTATGTTGTGTAAATAGATTTATCGATAATTAAGTGAACATAAATAAGAGAAAGAGAAAAATAGACAAGTTGACGTTAAAAGTGAGAGAATCAAATTCGCGTGGAATTCAATATTTGTTTATTTGTTATTGATGCAAGCTTTACAGTGACAGTTGTACACAAGTAGTGGAATAGTAGAGACGAAAAGTAAGCCGCGTTCCTTCATTTTTTCTTGACAATATTTTATCACAAGATAGATAAACCTGATATGGATTTTTTACCGTACGTATGCACACTTCACATTTATTTAATTTAATACTACGATATTTATATAAAACGCTAAACATTTAATCACAATACATAATCTAACCTAAATCTTAACCACGGGGTGGCGCGGGAAAAATTTAGTGTTTACATATTTCTATCATTTTTTCTTCAATTTTATGTAGTCGTTTAATTCAATTTTATTATAGACGTTTAAGTGATTTGTAAAATTTAGTTATTATAGTTGATAGTTAATTAATTATATAGTATGGTACAAATCTAACAAATTTCATGTTCAGTCTATCATATCAATAATCATTTATTTGTATTTTTTTTTGTTATCTTCGAGTATTGTTTAATGTTCATTAATATAGAGCGACTTCATCATTATTCTGGAAGAAAGTAAGATTAGAAACATTTGAAAATTGGCCATTTAAATCACCCAAAGATGTTTGTAGTCCGGAACGCATGGCTTCTGCTGGATTCTTTTCTAAAGCGAATAAGGAAGAACCAGATTTAGTTGAATGTTTTATTTGTTCCAAGCAGCTTGATGGTTGGGAATCTACTGATGATCCATGGTTTGTATTACATTGGTGTATACGTTCTCTCATTAATTATTGTGTTTATTGATGCGATGGGTTTTTAGGAAAGAACATGAAAAACATCAAGCATCTTGTGCATTTGTAAAATTACAGAAACAAGACGAATGTCTCTGGACTGTTCTCGAATTGTTTGAATTAATAAGAGTGTTTAATTTAAAGGAATGCGTAAGTTTTAATACATTTTTCAATTGTACTGTAAAATATAAATGAAACATTAATGTTATAAATGTTTCTTATAAATGTATAATAAACCATAAACTCTTGTATTCCTTTTAAAAGTAATGTACATGAATTTATAAAAAAAAAAGATATTAAAACGTTATTCAATTAAGATTTGTTTCATTACTTTTAGGAAAAGGAATTAGAAAAGGAAAAAATTAAATTAAAGCATGAAGCAGCTAAGCTCGCAGAAGAGATACCAATATTGTTTAAAAATTTGAGGAAGAATAAGAGAGGAGGAGATTAATTTAAGTTGATTAAGAGTATAAGGTATTTTTTACATTCAATTTAGAAAATATGTGTTATTTCTTTTTGTAATAAAATTTAATATATAAATACATTCATATTTTCGATTTCTTTTATACTAATAATAATATATTTTTAGCAAATTGATGTATCTTCGTTTTTGTTTTTTAATTAAAAAAAAAAAAACAGCGAGATTCAATGTGGTCTGATTTTTATGTGTAAATCTGAATCAAACTAAAGTTAATATGTTATATTTTTTTTTTTTACAGAATCAGTCGTATTTTTACCATAAAACTTTACGTAATGTATATCAAAAAAAAAAAAAACGAACAAAAAAAGAAGACAAAAACTATTTTATATTATGTATTAGTTTTTAATAGATCTAATTAGATATTTTCGACATCATTCGAAATGATAAATAACGTTAAGTCTTGTACATTTGAATCTTTCGAGTAAGTTGTTTTGTTACATTATAAATCTTGTTTTTATTTCTGATTACATTTTTAGTTACTTGAGATAAATATAACATTATTTTACAAATGTGTGAAGATATAAGAATTTTTTGAGTAATCATAAAATAAATATATAAATCTTTCTATGTGTATAAATAAAAAAAAATGTATATTTAGTAACACATGCCAAATATAATTTATTAATTTTATCTCAAACGAATGTTACATCATTTTATAAATTAAATAAAAATCCAATTATAGAAAAAAAAGTAAGAGAGAGAGAATTGATAGTTATCATAAAATAAACACATATGTTATTTCCATATATTTATAGAAATTAATATATTCGATAGGAAATTAACACAAGTGAAACTTATCTTGCTTTAGGGTATGCATCGTTAACGATGAAGCCGGTCAACGAACGATTTTCCTAGAAAGCATGATGTGCACATTCATGCACCTTGGCTGGGAGACCAACAACACGATCCTTTCTCGGGTTATTCCTTCGTTTCTTAACCAATTCGTGTCGCGAATGCATTCATTCGCTTTGATGCATCTTTAAGGAAAGTTCCTCCTTTTATTTTCTATTCTATCCTTCGATAAATGTGTGATGAGCATAATATTATTCGTTCAACAAACACTTTTGCTTTGTCAATCACTTGATTAATAATACTTATTACATTTATATTTATTTAATCGCTGTATATATTATTTTTTTATAATTATCTAATATTATATAATAATAATAATAATAATTTATCAATATTATATATATATATTTTATTACAAATATTAACCAATTATTCAAAATATGAAACCAATAGATAGCAAACGTATTTTCTATTAAAATGATGAATTTTTTCAAACGTTCAATTGTTACATATTTATAATTCTATTTTTATGTTCGAATCTAATCTAATATACTGTAAAAACATTAGAATAAGTTTCAATTGTTATATAACGAATACGAAATTAATGTCAGATGTGTTTCATTTAAATTAATCTATTCCATTTGTCCTTGTAGAAACTTACATACACATAGACAAATACTCATTGATTCATACTTAAATACTTTCTACGTGGTAAGAAAATGTTACGTGTAGAAAATAATAATGCTTCTTTAATTTAGATTCTAAAGATCTCAAAGTCAACGCTATAAACAACTTCCGTACTTCAGGTAATTCATATAAAATAGTGTTGTGAATGGATGTCAAGGATAGAATGGTTCATTGTACGCGTGGAATGAAGATTTATATTGCGTTATTTTTACGAGTTCATATACGTCGATCAATTTTGGCAAAGCATTGGGGCCTTATGGACCAGGAATATCTAAGCAAATGAATGGTCGAACTTTAGAAATTGAAGGCGAATTGAATTCTTAGTGTAAATCCTTGTCCTCGATTTGCAGAGTTACAGAGTTACTTGTATATATATATATATATATATATATGTTAAAGTTTCATGTCCTTGTCAGTTAGTTGCTTTCTCTCAATTTCTTTTCCTTTTTATCGACATCTGTATATATATATATATATATATATACAATGACATGAATAATGAGATACCTTTAGTTAGAGATACGACAGCTCATCTCTTAAGAGGTGAACATACGATGACTCTCTGATGAAAGGATTGAACAATTCACCATTTGCATTTCTTCTATATAAGTATGTACGTACATATATATTGATATATTTCATAGTAAATGAAAGTATAAAGTATCATCTATGTGTGGATGTATCTACTACATACAATATATCTTTGGCACGGTTTAATATAAATATGTGTGTAAATATGAGGTAGGAATTAAGTAATCTTTGCGACGAATGCGCAAAAACAAGTGCGTTACATATATGCGCAGTTTAATAATACCACTCGATTAAAAATCTTATTGTCAAAGAAGTAAAAAAAAAAGAAAAAGAAGAGTGATAATTAAGACCGGTATACTTAAAATATTAAAAAAGTTAAACTGTCTATTAATTAAAGAAACAAACGTATCTACGGATTTATAATCAGAAGAAGAATATTTCGAAGAGAAGAATATGGTTGATTATTTCAAAGACTTTTTAACCCCGTCCTGTGTTTATCGAGATAAAAACGATAATATGATTGGTTGGACGTTACAGAGAGATAATAATGAAAGACGAAAGAATATTCGACACGACACATTCTTCAATGAGATATTCGAACGTTTTGTAAACGTTACAATTACTTTTTTTTTTTTTATACATGCTCAAAAGATTCCATTGGAATTGGTTTTATGATCTGTTTTTTTAAATCTTACTCTTAATCAATGCAATTCAAATCTTTAAATAGAACTAGATTATTCTTCATATTTTATCTAGTTTTCTTATTTATCTTCTATTTTTAATGACTAGAACAGAATTAGAGACGGACTTTGAATTATTGTTGTATTTTATTGTTTCAAATCTTTCAAGCATGGAATTGAAGAAATTCAAAAAAAGTTCTAATTATAGATTGTTACAGAAAAATGTGATTTCTTTTTTTTTTGTAACATTTAACAAAACAACAGTTTGTTTTAATTATCAAAGAATTACATTACATGAGATAAATGTAAAAAAAAAAGAACAATTATTTACAACGAAGAAATTTTTATACAAAATAGTTAGGGATAGAGATTTTTTTCATATTTTGTTATTTTCCATTTCTTTCTCATTTTAAATAATTATTAATACAATTATTTTTTTTGTTGTATTATTGTTTAATATGTTTATTAATAATGAATATAAACAAATTTCGAAGTACATTCATTCATGTGGTTCACGTTTGATTTAATTGACGTAAAAATAAAATGACACAGACGTAGATTCAAAATGTTTTCAAGCTCTTTCTCATTTTTAATAATAATAATAATAATAATATTACAATATAATTTTGATATATTATCATTTAATGCAATCGACGAGTTGTAAATATTTATGTAAATTTTTTTCAATGTATTTTCTTTCATGGTTCACGTTTGATTTCACTGTATGTAGATACAGAGTCGTAATATTGGTTTTTATGTCATTCTAGGTATTACAACCGACTGGTACTACCACCACCACTTTACTAATCAGGAAAAATGTCAAGAAAATTGTGCCATGTTGTAAATAAAATATCTTGGAAATAGAATTTCGAAAGTATCTTTGTGGGAACGTCATAGAAACTTCCGAATTAGAGTCTAATCTTCAGAAACAAGGAAAGTATGGAAGGAAACATTTTTATTTATTTGGTATTTGATATTTTTCAAAGATTTTATCCACATCAAAATATTTTGAAAAAAAAAAAAATTATTAAATTCAAAGTAAATAATACTGATTACAGAAATATTGAAAAATCCTGACCCAGTAAATAACAGACTAAAAGAGAAAACCACTTTTTTTTTTCAAGTGGAGAGGGAAAGATAAAAGCTTTTAACTAAAGAAAAAAGGGGTGGGGTGGGGTGGGGAAAGAAAAAAATTAATTTGGGGGGGGATGGGGGGATGGGGGGAGGAGAACATTGAAATATTTACGTTTGAAGATAATACTTTACTGTCATTGATAATCTATAACAATAGAAGATAAGACAACACTCAGGAATGAAGACTTCAATGATGGTGACTTGTTTAGAAAATAGGCTAATAGAATCTTTATTAACAATATTTTCTTGCGCATATGTAAAAAATTAATTTTAACAACAACAACAGCAACAACAACATTTTTAAACATATTTCTTTATTTTTATTGTCTATCTTTTTTTTTTTTTCTAAATCAGAAATAGAAATCAGTTTCGATGTCACGTGAATTGTTTTTTTTTTTTATTTCAATAATCAATTGGTTAATTAATCCAACATCTACTCGAAATTTGCAAATAATTATGGTTGACTTAACACAGGTGTATTTAATTGTAAGAAATCAATGTAAAGCAGGGTCAAGAAAAAAGATTGGAAGGACATGAAAAAAAAAGTAGCATATTTCAAAGTTTTTAATTTACGAGTCGTTCGTGCAATCACCTGGAACATTTTCATTTCAGTTTTTTTCAAAACAAAAAGAAGAGTTTTGTGTGTTGTCTCTCCTTTTTCTTCTTCTCTCTTACATACACACACAGACACACATATACACATACACGTTATTTCTGTAGAAGCAATGAAAAGTAATCATTTGCAATATTTAAAATCGTGCACTTTATACGTGTTGCTTTAATTTGCAAAATACAATATTTTTCTGTATATGGTGTTCGAAAAGCCATTTAAAAGAATTGAAAAATGATTAATTTGTTTTGCTAATTGTTTGAAGTGGTTACATATGTTAGGTCAGTAATTTTTAAACATAAGAATAACCGAACATTTTTATTTTAAAATGGAAAAACAATATATTATTATACAATTTTATTATTTAATTAATATTGATTTTTTGATTTGTTTATTCGGTAAAACGAGACTTTTGGAATTTTTCATATATATTTATATGTTGTATATATATATATAATAATATTATTATATATTATTATAATATAATAAATTATATTAATAATATTAATATTAATATATATAATTAATATATTAATAATATTTTATATATATATATGGAAAAGCGGGAAAAAAAAAAGAAACAAAAGATCGACCTTGTACAAATATTATCTCACTCTTATAAGATCTAAATACATAAATCAATCAAGCGTAAAGCGCTTTAAATCTTTTTTCCGTCATTTAGATGATTTTTCAATATTTGGCTTTACAAAAGAATATATTTTTCAAATAAACAAAATTATTAGTAAAGCAAACGATAAGAGTAATTTATATAAGTTGCTTACTAACGGAAGTTAAAGCTTGGTAAGGAGGGAGGGAGAGAAAAAAAAGAGAAAAAGAAGAGAAAGAAAAAAAGAAAGAGAGAGAGAGATATACACTTGTTATTATCGTTGTTAATCAATTGTATTCCCTTTTTTTTATTTTCTAATCGAAAGCTACCTCTTGTTTTTACTTTATTGATATTAACAATTGTTTCAAACATATGTACTTATCATTTTATTTTATTTCTTTTTTACTTCTTCAATTTTTGTATTTTTTACTACTTTGTTGTTGTTGTTGTTGTTGTTGTTGTTTTTGAGATAAGCATGGATACTTAAGAATGAATAAACGAATTTTTCAATAAAAATCATCTACTTCCTCGTAAATCTATATCAGACCGGATATCATCGAGAGTACGTAGAAAAAAAATATCTGGATGAACGTTTAACCAGAATATCATTATTACATAGAATTACGTAAAATTGATGGATAATCAATCAAAATATTCTAAAGTTCAGGTAAATCTGAATGAAATGATTTCATTTTTCATATATTTTTTTAATTACAAAAATGTTCTTCTTTATACATACACATGAATATACATTTATATTAGTGAAATTGTATTATATTAGATCAAATACAGTAATATATGTGCTAGTGATTTGTATTGTATTATATATATATACAATACTATACCGGTTCACCTAGATCGATCAACACAAACCTCTTTATCGATCATTTATTATATTTTATAGGTAAAAACTTGTTACTTTGATATTTCACAAGATGTCGATATAATTGCATTGTAGATATTGATATAATTTAGAACAAGCGTAATAGAAACACACAGACACACACACACACAAATAAATATGATAACGTTGAAGAGTTTAAAATAGTATAGTCAATTGTAAGTAATATAAAAGG